GCAAGTAGTAGGAAAATGATAAACTCTTTGGAAGTACCTATAAATTTAAGGTAAATTCATTCTGTTATATTAAGAAATATTAAATTTCAGGTAATTCTGCCTTTTAAGGATATACAGATGATATTGATTTAAATTCTGCTATACTGGTTAAGTTCCAGTGTGGTTGCTACCATTTCATAGCTTTTTCAGCAGAAAAAAAGTAAATATAAATGCTTACCCTGATTCTGAAAATATTGAGCTAATTAACGTGGTTGGGTTTTATACAGATGGCAGCCTTAATATGAACAACATTTATGATAAACCTACAGAAACAATGCCTGGAGCAACTGGATCATTAAAAAAAGTATTTGTTAAGCATTATTCAGTCTTGGTTCTGAATTAATAAATAAAGGATTAAGGAGCAGTTATGTGAGACTTTAAGTATAGAGTGATAAAACAAACTCCTGCATTTCTGTGGTGTATATTTTATCTTAACTAGATGCAATTTACTTAAATAAGGCAATTTAATCAGTATTTAGTAAATTTGTAATTTGATATTGTAGAATCTTTCATCATATTTCACTTTAATCAAGAAAGGTAACACCTGTGGTTTATTCACAAAAGCTTCTTTTGTTAAATGAACACCCGCAGGCCATGAAGCAATTACATTTGTTGCTTGTACCAAAGTAGGAGGCACTTAAATAGACCTTAGTAGGGATAGATGAGAACTTGCAGACTTTATTCTTTTGTCCAGCACTGAGATTAGTTCTTATCATAGCTCAAGAAGGAAGCCTCTGAACTGAAAAGAGAAGATGGGAATGATTTATAGTTCTTAAGTTTGAAACTTTGATATTGCTGGAGGTGATGTGAATACCTGTGACCTTACAAAAGTTCAAACATCTACTCTCAGCTGATTGTATGTGCTGATGTTTTTTTGAGATTGCAGGACATTCATGTTTATAAGTCCCCTAAAATCACTAGCAAAAGCTCCCTCAAGACAAAAAAACCCAAACCACAGAAGCCTGTTTTCATTTAGTTGGGTTTGGGGGTATTCTTGAGGCAGATGATTTAGTCTGTTAGCTTTATTTGCAATACATCAGTTTCCTAATATGTCAGTTAATGCAGCACAGGGTTGTTCTTATCTCTTGGGTTTGAAGATATTTGAGTAATCAAAGAAAAAAAGTTTGGCATCATGTAAAGAGCTCAAAAGAATATAATTATTTGATGATTCCCCCCCCCCCCTTTTAGGTAAAGTAATGTTTTATGCTGGTGTGTATCAAATACCTGCCCTGTACTTCAGTTTTGCCACTTTAACTACACCACTGAATAAATTCCAACAGCACTGCAAATTTTGCTGGTTTGTCACAGTAAAAGATGCTTATTTGGGGTGAAAGAGAATGAACTGCTGCTTCAAGCTCAGTTGTTCCCAAGGATAGTGTTGTTCTTCTGGTCTAGAGCCTGGGGAGGGAGCAGAGTCCTGTCTGATGGGTGCCTTTCATTCTCACACATTTCAGCTGCTCTGCAGATAACCGGTTCTGCCTGAGAACTGCCATCCCTTGGAAGTAAATCCTCGGATAATCTGCACAGAACAGAGGCACAGGGCTTGCTGAGGCAGAGGGAGTGGCCTGCAGACAGTCAGAGGCAGCGTTTCACAGCAACCTGCACTGCTGAGGAATTGCTGCTTCTGCAGGAGTCCCCCTCGTTCTGGGAAAATCCAGCTGCTGGGGGCCTGTGAGACTTTCCTGTCTTTAGTTCTGGCCCATGTAGGGGAGATCAGAAATGCTGCCCAGCCCAGGGCAATGCTTTTATCCATCATCAGTGTGGATTTGTAGTGGACACTGTGACTTTAGTGCTTCTCGGATACATTTAACTTTCCCTAAGAGGTCCATTGCCTGTAGGTACCAAAAATGCTGTGAGTTGTCACACAAGTGGCTTTCCCCCTTGCCTTGGCTTTTTTGGCAGCAGCAGCACATTGCTGTACAATTAATACATTCTTACTAAAAATACAAGCTTCCAACAGTTTTTTGGGTTTTTTTTTTGGTTTTTTTTTTTTTGGTGAATATTATTCCCAGCTAGTGTGCTTGCAGAATGTTTCAGATTGGGTCCTGTCTCTGCAAAGGCTGACACTCAAAGTGAAATATTTTCTGTGAGTAATCCCACCGAGATCAGTGATGTGCTGTAGTCATGGCTTGGTGCATGGAGCCTTGAAGGATTCTGGCACTGGTCTTTATTTCAAAGAGGTTTATACTACTTTTGTTAATTTGTTTTTTAAATTCATGATTATGGCCTGTCACTGGTATTTGGTTTTACATTTTCCTGCAATTCTTGTGATTTTTATTGCTTGTCTTAATTCTAGGTTGTAGTGAAGTGCCTAGATGATGGACAGACACCCTACAAAGGTATTACAGTGCATTATCCCCAGCTGAATCACACATTGTGACAGTACTCTTAATGCCAAATTCAGAGGTGTAGGGCCCAGTCATACCTATGAAGGAGAAAAAAAACCTGAAGTGGTAAAATTCAGGATACAGGAAGACACTTTACTGCAAATGTTCTACCTGGAATGCAAACTGTGAACATCTTGTCTAGACAAATAATTATTCCTAGTACTGGAACAGTTTTATGCCATTGCAGGCAAAAGTGATTTATTTTATTTTTTTGTAATTTTGGAGCTTGGTAGAAATATGGGAAGTGTTCTAGAAAGTTTTTGGATATGGTTGAGTTATGAGTGGTTCTTTATTTTACACAGTAAAAGATGAGCATCACATTCTGCCTGTGAATTGGGAGAAGGGAGAAGACACAGGAAGCAGAACAGCACAAGGGGAGCTGGCAGGGAAACAGGAGCACATTGCAAGTGATGGTTTTGCAATAACATAAAATGTTAGCGTGGGCTTGCTTTCTATATTTAAGGAAAAAAAGTCTTCCTTTCAAAGCACAGGGAGTGCTTTGGGTGGGACCACTGAACTAAGCAAACATGAATACCCAACTACCCTGCTGGACATCCTGAACAGGCTGTGTTCCATGGAATCTTTGAGGAAAACAGCAGTGACAGCACATGCTCAAACAGAGACCTGTCAAAAACACAAGATGCTTATTCTACACAGGTGGTTTGACTCTGGATAGAAGCTTTTTAAAATGTATAAATTGACTTCTGGTTGGTTTTTTTGCTTGCAAAGCTGCTTGGGTAGGAGGAGGGCCAAAGTCATCTAGCTGGAAGCAGCTGGCCTTCCCAGAGGAAGCCCTTCCAGGCATGTGCCAGGAATCTGATCAGCCTACCAAACAACAAAGGTGACACAAGCTGAGTTGGGAATTCCTGCCTGGAAGGACTGGGAGAATAAGCAGGAGAGGAGCTTGGCTGAAGTAGTGCATCAGTTAAAAACAAAGGAGGTGGCATTCCTTTATAGCAGAGCCTGTGGAAGATGGTACCAGTGGGTTTCAAAAGGGCTTTAGACATTGCTGGTCATGTGTGGATTCTAAATGTCAGAGGTTTGTGCCCTCTGACACACCTAGAGCAGCTTTCCTGGATGCCACAGAAATACAGGGGCTGGCTAGGAGGGATGGGCAGCCTCTTTCTGCAGTGAGTGTTTCATTCTGCCACTGCCAAAGGTGACCTGTGGTGCCTCAATCCACAGCTGACACATTTGCCACGGCTCAGTAAGAGCCTCAGATTAAAGACCAGGTTCCCAGGGAGTGTTACCTGACCAGGGACCTACAAGTACCAATTGCACTTTCCTCCAGTGGGGGACCTGGATTTGTTCTTTCTGGTTTGCAACCAGCCTTTATTCTAGAGTGGTATTTCACTTTGCTTAATCTGTCACCCATGAACTCTCTCCTATGTAGACTATTGTGTTTAGAGCCCGCATGGCTCAATTCTAGAACTTTCATGCTACTTGTAGCTTGAGTTTCATTTGAAATAGTTTATTTGTTTAGTTAGTTTCCATATATTTTTCCTCTGAATTGGGGTCATAGTAAAGTTTCAAGTACATACTTGGTTTTGGAAAAATTTATGTTAAAGTCCACATTAAATATTCTCTAGATTGAAGATATGTTGCTTCATTTAAATTTTCAGCCTGTTTTAAAATTTTAGAAACAAAACCCAAATAGAAATGTAATTATTAAGTATTTTCTTTATTAACTTGAAAGAGGTTATTTGTATCTGAAACCTTTTTAAGAAAACATTATAAAATAGAATTGTATGTTCCATGCAGATATCTTTAAGACTTGTAGCAGCAACTTTTTCACATATGAAAGCTTCATACTCTCACTTAGGTGACTATTACAGCTATGTTGCTATTTCTCATTTTGTCATTGAGTCAGCCAGTGAATGCCATGAATCTGTGGTATGTAATATAGTTAATGCATAATATATATGGGCAATGAAAGGTCTTTGTCATATAGTATAAGGTCACCATCATTAATTTTCAAATTATAAAAAGAGATTTGCTGTTTTGTGATCATCATTATTGCAATATAATGTGTTGTGGATTCTGCCTGCACATAGAATGAACTGTGATCTTAATTAGAACTTTGACAAGCCTACTCCGATAAAATGATGAGATTATTCGTAATTGATGTCACAATCAATTACCAGTTAGTTCATCATGAATCTACTAACAGGTCTAGCCTTGGTGCTGGCCCCAGGATGTTGATGAGTGTGTGGCTGCCCTGTTCATGCTGTTACTGCGACAGGAGGGCAGATTTTCAGTCAACATCCTAATGACCTCTTTTGAAGTCTATTAAATTAATGACCCTGTCACATTGGTCTAACCTCTTACATCTTCATTTTGGATTTTTTGTTGCAAACCATTGGTTTTTGAGCACATGATAGAACAGATACTTTGGAGCACTCCCTCTCATCCCTCTAAATCTGGCAGTGGGTCTTACTGGACTCAGTAAAATTTAGTTCATTACACAGTCATGAAATACAGAGCACAGAAATCAGGAAAAACACTGTGAGGCAAACTCTGCTTAAATCATTCTGTTCTGGTTTCTTTTTACATTTCAATCTTGCTTAATCATAGGTGCCTAAAGGACATGTTTGGTTAGAAGGTGATAATCTCAGGAATTCTACAGATTCCAGGTACTACGGACCTGTTCCTTACGGGCTGATAAGAGGACGAATTTGTCTTAAGGTATGTGAATTTATCCTGTCTAAAAATGAATACATTTTTAATGTGTGGATGTTAGGTATTGAAACTTGCCTCCCCAGCTGTCTGGCCAAGGGAAAGCAATTCCTGTAAAGGAAAACATGAACACTTCACCCCTGCTGTAAAAGGATAAATCGACAATGACACGGTTTTTGGAGGGAGGACTTTGGAGCAGCACTGAGCAGTCACTGCTATGAAAATGGAATGAATTATTTTGCAAGCAAATCCAAACGTGATAAAAACACAAATGTTCCCACATACACCCTACTGCACAGATGTACATTCCATCCTTACTTTGCTTCTTGCCTCTGTGCAAAATGGTTTTTCACTGTTTTAGCTCTGTGGTCCAAAAAGCAAAATGGAGGAAAAGATTCTCTTTCCAGGACTTGCACACAAAGAAGAAACGTAACACAATTTCCTCTCCATTAAAAGTTTAATCTAAGAAACAGGGGAATGTGTATTACACACTTATGCACCTGCTTTTAGAAAGCTGGATTTAAAGTTGTGCATTCAGAACAATACAAAAGGTTTTCTCCATATACTTCAACACATCCACAAACCCGTAATTTAGCACACCTGTATTACACAGGGAAGATTAGATCTTTCCAATTTAACAAAGCCTTGTAGCCTTAATTTATGTATTGTAATGCATATTGTAATTTATTGTATTTATGAAATTGTATTTATGAACACAATTTGGGACTTTTCAAAAAAAAAAAAAAACAACAAAAAAAGAAACCTATGCAGCTATTGAGCACAATCAGTAATTGCTTTCTAAAACACAGCCCCCTCAGCCCTACTGGCAAATTTTGGGTGTTCTCAGTTCCCCCTGGCTCACATTTGCTCTGAGTTCTTCCCTGATGTTTACTTGGGGCTCTGCCCCCTCTCCTGCTGTCTGCTTCACCCTGGACACCAGAGGGGAAAATGCTGATTCCCAGCAGGGCTGTTGTTATGGCCCAAGTTTTAGCTTGGATTATTGACTGCTAAGAGACAAAGGATGCTAATCTAATCTGCTGCCACTCCTCTAATGAGAATCTGGCAGTAATAATGCAAAAGCATTTCTCCAACCTGATACTCAGGTATACAAAAGCTGCTGTTTACTACTTTAAGGGGACTGTTAGCAAATTTTGGATATATCAAGAACCTGTGTGTATGAACAGCTAGAATTAGTCACAGTATCTCTCCACAGTAATAGATTTTCTGTCCAGCTTGTGCCCTGACAAGGAAGGTGTTTGAAAGACCTTAATGAAGTGACTGACAAGACTGAAATCTAAGTAAACTCTGTAAAATGAGTGAAACTCACAGATAATTCATATTGAAGCACTACCTTAGGACTCCAAAGTATTTTCTGTTAAAAAAGATATTATGCAATCACTTGATACTTAATTAAAATAATTTAACCAGATTTTACAGCAGTTGCTAATGACAGTGGCATAGAGCAGTGATTATTCAGGTTTTCATGAGATTTAATATGGTGCCTAACCAAAGCAAAAATGAATTTGTTCTTCAGGTGAGTGTTTATAGTTGGGTTATGACAAGTCACAAGAGCATACAGTGATGTTGCTGCTGCCCACTGCAGCAGATCCAGACTGCACGGGGGTGGCTGACCACAGGCCAGGAAACCTCTGTGTGCTCTTAACGCAGCCCCCTGCAGCTTTGGCTTCTCTTTCATCCAACAGTTTTTACTGCCTTCAGAATGGAAGCTTTTGTGACTTTACCTTACAGTGGATTTTGGAGAAGCAGATGTAACAGTGCCTTTCAGCGCTACGTTACTTTTTTAAGAATGGATACTAAAAAACCCCAAATGTAATTTGGAAGTCATGGATTTCAACAGAAGAGAGTGAGCTTAGCCAGCCTAGCTGGCTGAATTTGTTTTGCCAAGGATAGGTTGGCTATTCTTGGCTGAATTTGTTTAGCCAACCTATTCTTGGCAAAGCATGAATGTTTATCTCAAGTTTAGACCAAAGGTTCTCAGTCAGTGTTGGTGCACCACTTTTTAACCCTTACAGAAATATCAACAGGTGACTCTGTCTGCTCCTTTTCCTCCCTGCCACCATATGCCCTCCAAACACAAAGTGATTCCATAAAGGGCTGCTGAAATCAAAGCAGCTGCAAATTCAATAAAAGCACTGGGAATCCCACTCATGCTTCATCCTGTCCTGGGTAGGATATCCTGTGCATTCCCTGGATTTAGGCTCCATGTCAGAGCTAGACATGTGGTGTATCTTCAAAAGAGCTAGTTAGCCCCATTTGTGCCCCGTCCATCAGATCAAATCTATCTATGTAGGCCAAAGCAAAGAGGGCAAGGAGCTGCTAATTGGAAGAGCCAGTCTGAATGAGCAAGTCACAGTCAACTTCTGTCAGAACTTTAAAGGACTCAGGAATTACGACAGAGTGGCATGTCTTTGTTTCACAGAGAAGGGGTTTCCATCTCTTTCCAACTCCAGTATTGTTTCTCAGGTTCTCTCTGCATGCAGACTAGATAAAACATCATTTTAATTCTAATTCTACCACTAAGATCACCGTGACAAATTTCAAGCCACACTGTCAAAGCAACATTTAAAGCTAATTTGGTTACTTTCACTGAAAGAATCAAGTTGCAATAGGTGTGATTTGAGTTGCCTGAAATGAGATTTGTGCTGGACTGAACAGACAAAAAAACTTCCTTCTCCAGGCCTTTACTGAGATCAGCTTGGATTTGTTATATGGGATATTTTTCTTTCCTTTTACTTCTGTTTGCCTTGAAGGCCAAACAAAGACTTGACACCCAGCCTACAGCCAGCACAGGCCCTCTGGACAGCCTCGAATTCTGCAGCTTTGCTGCTAACCAAGATCACAAATACCCTTCTGTTGTTGGACTGTATCTGTATTTTTCTGTGGAACTTAAAATAGCTCAGCAGCTGATCAGCACAGAGACATCACCTCTGTGGTTCTGTGTATCAGCAGCTGTTCCTCGTGCTCCTCCCCAACTGCACAAGGATTTTCTAAGATCTTGCACAAGAGCCTTTTTCTGGTGCACAGAACTTGAGGTCCTGAGCACGACTCATCCTTCTGCCTTCCTGAGGGCCCCTGACAGCTGGGGCACGGAGCTGTGCACAGCCCCAGCCAGGAGGGAGCTGCTGCTGCCTCCTGCCATGCCTGTCCTCAGCTGCCTCAGCCTCTTCTGACATGGCCTTCTGTGCTGGGGACAAATCCTAGGGGTAGAAATAACCCAACCTTTGCTTCCTCTTTTAAATGAGACAATTACTCTTTCACACCACACAGAAAGCAGCAAAGGCTCCTTCTGTGCTGTGGCTGCTCCATGAACTCAGAGTTGCTGTTAGGTTGCTGCTCTTATGCCTTAGGACCAAATTCTATGGATAAAATAAGTGAGATAAACAAAATACTGACAGATGCCTTGGAAACAAGGTTGTGCTCCACCTTCCTCTGTCTAGGCCGCTTCATCTCGGGCAGGGGCTGTGAAATTTTTATGGGATTAGAGGGCATTGATTCCTCAGCATCATCTTTCCCTTCTTCCTGCTGAGGCCCTTGTGCCATCTTTGAAAGAACATCTTGCCAAGAGACAGACATTCAAAGGAGACAAAAGACAATGAGTAAATCAATGTGCTTGCTTTCCTATTACTTTTTTTTTTTGCATCCCAGACCATCCTACATGTGGTTAATGACTGTGCAGAGCAAAGTACTCCTGAGAGCATTCAGTACATGAACAGCCATACAGTTAATTTCTGGAGAGATTTGTTTATTGGTTAGCATCATTGTCTGACACCTGTACTTGGTGATGAGTTGTGCTCTTTTGTAAATTACTGTCCCCTTCTCCAAAGAGGAGCCCCTCAGTCCAGAGCCCAGATGGTGGCAGGCACTCCACCCCTTCATTCCTTTTTGTATAAATTTACCTGTAGCTAAAAGATCTTTTTTTCTCCAAGGTTTGCTATTTGCAGTTCAAAGGCCCATCCTGAAAATACAAATGTACACCTCACCACGGGGAGGTCCATGTGTGTGGTACTTCTTTCCTCCTAGATGGACCAAAAAACACAAACCTTGTCTTTAAAGTCATGAAGAGCTCTACAAGCTAGAAAACACTGAATTGGAAAGGCACTCTTTAGCATCATATTTATTTCCAAGGATGAAAAAAGCAATGGAATTTGTGAGGCTCTCTCTCCATAGCGAATCATGCCCTGTATAAATGATCAAGTTCACACTATGGAACAGTTCCCTGTAATACACAGTATTTATTACTCCCAGTAACAGAAACACATCAATGAGCAAAGTTCTTTACCAAGGAGAGAAAAAATTTTGCTGTTTGTGAAACGATTACAAGTGAAAATACTGAATTTTGAATTGTGATTAAAATCTCATTAACTCTGCTTTATTTTACAGATATGGCCTCTGAATGACTTTGGATTTCTACGTGCAAGCCCCAATGGCCACAGATTTCTTGATGATTAAAAGACTTAAGTTACTATTGACAGTTTTCATAGTATTTTCTACTAAAATGAACGGAATTATTTTTGTTTAGAATAAACACAAATATTACTTGACAAAGATGTCTCTTTCTGAGATTACACCTAACTTCAGAGTGGGAATGATCCACTTGTGTCACCAACAAAAACGATCTGCCCCTTGCTCTGCTTCCTCTGGCGAGCCACAGCGAGTGCTTGGATTTATGGGAAGTTCTGGGGTTTTGTTCCAAGCCAAGGTCAGCACTGAGTGAGGATGGAAAAGGCACAGTGCACTTACTGTGCTGTCACACAGCCAGAGCCAGCCCCTGCATCAGCAGGTGGTGCTGGGGCTGGCACTGGGCACAGCATCAGTGGGGTTCCAGACCTGCTGGTCACTCCCAGGAGTGCTGCCCAGTGGGGTCAGAGCACAGCTTCCTCCTTAGCTTTCCTCTCAGGAATGATGACTCCATTTGTTCTGACGATGGAGAGCCTCAGCTCAACACGTGCTCCTGTTCCAGGCTGCCCAGGTGATGTCACTGTCACAGGGCAGGGCACAGCCAGCAGCCCTGCTCCTCAGCACTGGGACACCCAGCTGCCAGCCTCTGCCTCCTCCTTCTAGGCTCCAGTCCTTGAGAGGGTTACATGAACTTAAGTATTATTTAGCTTATAAAGAGAAAATGTTCCTGTTTCCCACTGCTGAACCTTGCTCTTCATTATCTTCAAAGCATTCTCACATCTGTCCCTCCTGATTGAATTTTGTCATCTGAGCTGTTAAAAGGATTTAACATAAGAGGAAGGGCCCAAGGTAGAGCTGCTTCAGACTGAAACTGAAAGAAGCTACTCTGTTGTTTGCTGGGGAAGAAACATTTAGATCAGGAGACACATTCCAGTTGTACAGAACTCTGCTCTGGGTTGGAGGTGTTTAATAATGAGCTCCTCAGCTGCAGAAGGAAAATCCAAGCCTCATGTCTGCAGAGCTGTGTAAGCGAACGGGCACTTGTCATTTTTAAGCCTGAATGAACTTATTCTTGTAGTGCCCCCTCTTTTCTTTAACATACATTTCTTCAGCAGATGCTGTCCCTTGTTTGCCCAGTCTTTTGAAAAGTTTGTAACACTCAATGTGCTTCATTGAAACAATCACTGCAGGATCTCAACAACAAGTGAACATGTGTCGCAACAAACCAAAGACACTTCTTTGGTTTCACTCTTGAAGACACTGTAATTCCCACCACATCGACAGGAGAGAGTGTAGAGTTGTTCATCTGCCAAAAAAAGAAAACAAAAACGCCTTTACTGCTGGAGAAGAAGCAAAAATTTATGTGGAATTTTCTTCACAAAGCTGCTCTTAGTAACAAATAACCTCCCACTGCTAGATTGTAAATATCAGTATCTGTGCTACCATTTACAGCTCAAAAAATAATCTCAAAATGTTTCAGTGACTGAGGTATTCTTACACTAAACAACCACAGCCAGTGGAGTGTCTTAAAAAAAAAAATCCAGTAATAACAAGGTGCACATCTGTGAAATGGATGATACTAAAGGAAAAAGCTAAGTGGTGTTAGTCATGTGTGACAGATCAAGGATGCTTCCAAAACAGGCTGCTAAACCAAGAACCAAAACAAAAGAGAGGAAAGTAGGGGTTTCCCCCCCCAGAACTTAAAAAAAAAATAAAATTAAAAAATCAGCCATTTATTCCAAAAGCAATTAAACAAGAAAAGGCAGAGCAATAGACAGGAGGGAATAACTGTGGCAGATGAAAAAAGAAACACAGGCATTCTACCATCATGGGAAGAGGAAGAAGATGCACAAGAGATAGGGGAAAGATCTATGAGCTCTCAACTATACGAGAAAAGAGCTGGGTGAAAAGTGGTACTGCAAGTGAGGGTAGGGAGAAGTGATGTAGATGGAATGGAAAACAAATGTAACAGAAGGGTAAAGTCTAATCCAAGTAACCTCAGAGAGCAAAACAGTTTTGTCCCAGGAAATACAGCACTTCAAGTAAGAGAACAATGGTGCTAGATGCAGAAAAAAATGAACAGGGACAATGAAAAGCATTAGGAACCAGCAGCAAGGCACTCATACCTTCATTCCAGGACATCTCCTCAAGATAAATCTGTGCATGAAGTGGCCCTTCTTTTGTCAGGTTATCTTCTATAAAACAAACACGACAGATGTTCAATCTTTTCTGGTAAATTATAGTTTTATATACCTAGCAGTCAATCTGGTCCCTACTTAGACCACTGTATCAGTTCAAAATGAAGTTCTCTAGAATTTTAGTTTCCATTTATCTGCATAAGCTGGAAAATGTCCTCTAGTAGCCGGGAGAAATAAATGGTGACAATGTATTACTGAATTAAGACCCTGAAACCAGCACTTCTGCACATCCCACTTCTAGGAAATTAGGGGCAAACTTCTGTTTTGATGTAGAAGCCTTTCAAAACCTGGCTGTAACTCCAACTCCACCAGCTGAAATGGTGAAGGTCTGCTAACCTGTACTTTCCACAGATTTGTGAGCTGAGGTCCAAAGGGACCTCTCAAGATCACCTATCAAAGCTTCCTGCAGGAGTAGGTTGGAGCAAGCTGATCAGGATGGGCCATGTCTGGGCAGATTTTAAATATCTCCACAAAAGGAGACTTCTCAGTATCTCAGTATCTCTCAGGCACCCTGTTCCTCCTTAGAAAGGAGAAGCCAAATAAAAACTTTCCAATATGCACCAAGGGAATATTGTATGTGAGAACACCACTGAGAGTCCTGCAAAGAAAGAAATGCAAAACACTCATAGGGGAAGACCAGTCCAAGTTCTCTTTTATGGGAGTGTCTCTGAGCACAGAGAAAAAATCAAGTTCTGGCCTGAGAGATCTGCTGCCATTCGATCTCCCAGACTCTTCCAATGTTGAGTACAGCATGAAATGGAAAGTGTACAGCACAACTGACAGCATCAAATGCAAAGTGTGCACTACAAATTGGCAGTTTTGCCATTTATCAGCAACTCATATTTGATGCACACAGTTCATACCAACTTCTTCAGCTTAATAATGAGAGCCTGTCATCGAAGTTACAAGTGAAGCCATAAAAAGTAATATCTAAGAAGTGAAAAGAAGACATAAACCCCTTAGAACTTAATGACACAAAACCTCCCAGCTGCTGCCTGACCCCTGAAAGCTCCAGCTCTCCAAATGCTGTATTTTGAAGAACAAGAAATGCCCAAAAGCTGCACTACAGGACATAGAGAGATGCCTTGGGTTTGGCAAGACTCAGGAGCTCAGTGTCTATGTACAGTTTAAATGAGGTTGTTCTTGAGGTGTTCCTCCTGTTGGAGTGGTGAATTTTTAACCCTGTTTATAGTTTAGTAGCTTTTGAGAGCATAGAGGGTGTTCTACAGCTTTCTTTGAAAAGCTGGCAGGGAAATAATGTCTTATTCCAGAAGTTTTGAGCACTTGCTGGAAAAGTCAAAGGCCCAGATTATGCTGTTTTAATTCCCAAGAGATTGCCTATATTGTGATCCCTATATTCTGAGTGGTTCCCAGCTTCTTATGTGCAGCTTGTAACTTCCATGTAACTTCTTTGCTCTGACCTGATGAGTAGAACTGAGGGACTTTGGCAGCCCCCTTTCCAGTAGCAGCCCAGAAAAACTGCCCCTCTCCAACCTTCACCTGATCAGGTCATGGAGAATTCCCTCCTTTATCACCACATCCCAAGCACCAAGTGTGAAATCCCAGTCTTTCTTCTGCAACTCACTGTTCTATTTTCAACTGAAATGTACATTATATATGCCTGGGAATGAGCCTCATCTAAATTAGTTCTAATGAAAGCAATTAAGTGGGACACACAGGAAATAATGACAGGATCAGTACAGCCTCTTTGATGTTACCTTTGCTGAACACCTATTTGGTAATGAAAAGGTCAGAACCAAAAGAAAATTAACCTGCTCAGACCCAGTGCTTTACTACTCTCAAAAGAAAGGAAAAAAATCAGCAGGAGCATAATGATGAAAGGAAATGGGAAAACACAGCAGTTATATGGAGTAACAGCATTTTCCCTGCACCTGATCAGAACATCAGTTAAGTGATTCACATTAGTGAGGTGTCAAAATACAATAAAGGATCAGATGGCCTCAGCTCATCCCAAATAACACCAATGTTAGAGGGAGTTTTGCTTGGTACAAGCTACAAACCATGAGGACTGGAATGGTGAATGCCCTGAAGACACCCACAAAAGCAGCAAGAGGCCTTTCCTCCAGCAGGCCTTGCTTGAAGGAGAATCCTTCTTTTCTCTGAGGAAAAAAACATTAAAAAAACAGAGCTCAAAATCAAGTTACTTATCTGGCTCACCACTGTGATCAAATAAGACAGTACAGTGAGAACAGAAAGAAAATGGCAAATGCTCCCTATTTCACATGTTTATTTTTAATACTGGGAAGAAAAATACATAATTTTACCGAAGGGAAAGGATCTCAGGTTATAGAATGAAAAGATTTGCATCTACAGTTAACAAAAAAGTTGAGTTAGAAAACTTCCAGAGTTTCCTATTTGGAATTAATGAAGCAGGATTTCTCCCAGAACAACTTTTATAGGATTGGTGGTGGGTCATGCCTCGCTGCTAGAAAGTACAAAAAGGGAAGATGGGCCATGAGCCACCTGAAGAGAACTGGTACAATGCAAATTCACGAGGTTACCATATTTTAACTGTGATTCATAGAACCACAGCATTATTTATGTTGGAGAACACCTTTAGGATCATGGAGTCCAACCAGTAATGCCTAATGAAGAAGCAGCTGAGGAAAAGTCTGCTCTTCTATTCCAAACATGGTATAATACGAAACCCAGGGAACAGAATTTCTACAAAGCTTTTCTAATTCATCCCTGCAATTGTAATTTTGAAAATAATAAAAAAAAACCAAACCAAACCAACAGGCAAAATGAATCCTTCTCACAATTCCCAGGATGAAAAGAGATTGTTATTCCCGATCTGATGCTCAGATCCTGAAGGATCAGGCACAGCATCGCCAGGTAAGGGTGGGATTGTCCTGCTCTGCTCTGAGCTGGGGTGGCCTCACCTCAAGTCCTGAGGCAGTTTTGAGCCCCTCAATATAAAAAAG